GGCCTCCTTAGAGTTTCCAGATATTTCCCAACAGTAGTATAGTTGGTTCCCCTATATCGGGTGTTATCCCTCGAGGGGACTCCTCTACACAGGCCTCCTTAGAGTTTACAGATTTGCACTTGTCTCAGGCACAGGTCATGTGCTTCTAGTAGTACGAGCTCAATACTACCTTCCACACCTACCTGTACCTTCCTCAAGGTCAGTCCTGATTCCTTTAAGCCACCACACTAAAACCATAACAAATCCTATGTTATACATCATACATATCCTAGACTCTCCTAGGAATTCTCAACTCCCACCACTCGTACTACCAAGAACCTCAATCAACACCGTTGGTTGCCCTGTGCATGCAAGTTATACATAAAATAGGATCACATAGACTGTCAAATGATGATTCTACCCTAAGTCCACAACCAAACAAGGAACAGGAAATGAGCCCAAATCAATCATTATAGGGCTATACAATCCTAATCGTATACAACTTTGAAAGCATACACATAGCAATTAACTAAGCCGATATCAATTCCAAGTAATACATAGCATCAAGTTCCACTAGGCTATAAGGCAACACACAAATCAGGCAATTCTATCATATGGTTCCTAAAATTATCTTTAGCCCTAATCTAGCATGCAATTCTCATATCAAACATACTCCTCATAATACATAAGTAAGGGTAATTTGGGAACCAGTTACTTGAGCTCGGCTGATCTCACGTGTCGCACCCCTCTTTTTTTAATAAACTCATTTTTAAAATTTGACTCCATTTTTTATTAAGAAAAACTATCATTTCCTCAGTTCGAGTTCAGACACATCCGAAAGTATGCCCGAATCCCTCAAACTAAGGCTCTGATACCAACTTGTAACGGTCCAAAAACAGTAACAAATTTTTTCATTTAAAAGTCATTCAAGTCATTCATTAATTGATCAAAACCCATATCAAATTATATTATTAAAACACAAGAGTACAAATTATTTCAAATGTGGAAACCATGAGGGGAGGATGTTGTGCCATCACGCTGGACCCTTCCCTTTGGAACTGGATGTACCTGAAACCATAAACATACACTGTAAGAATAAAGCTTAGTGAGTTCCCCAAAATACCACATTCACAAACATACAAGTGTCATGGGGTACCCCCCCATGGTATTTCCTTGCAATGTCGAGGGCCAAATCCCGGTCTTACATGCGAGTGCCATGGGCTACCCCCATGGTCTTTCCTTGCAATGTCGAGGGCTAAATCTTGGTCTTACATACAAGTGCCATGGGCTACCCTCATTGTCTTTCCTTGCAATGCCGAGGGCCAAATCCTAGTCTTACATACAAGTGTCAGGGGCCAGATCATGGTCTTTCATGCAGTTGTCACAAGACAACTAGCATTCCACATAACAAGCAAAGGGGCCGGCATTGGTGCCTTCGACCCATGGATCTAGTGAGGAAAACTCACCTCAACTGCTAAAAAACCAGAAAAATGCTCGGGCTGCTGGATTGGAAAAATTCCCGTGCTAACTAAACGAACAAAGTCCCAATTAATAATTGGGACATAAACCATAGTTGAGAATCTACATCACTTGCCTAGTGTCCAAAGTAAAAAGGGCCAATTAATCCTTTTTCTTTTAAGCCCAATAAAATATCCTAGGCCCAAACCCAAAGATCATCGAAAGCCCAAAATGGGCCCAAAATCAGAAGTGAACCATTACGATGAAAATCTATGGTCCAAGCCCAACAAGAAAATCCCAACGATAAAGGCCCAAAATCACCAAATCTGGATTGGGTCGTACGCCCGGCGTACTCGACCGAAGCGGGAAAGAGCACGACTGGGGTGCAGTACGTGCAGCGTATTGGCAATTACGCCCAGCGTACGCATCCCTAAGGCAAAAATCATGCTAAGTTCTTAATGTCTTAAGACCCTACGACCAAAATTCACATCTGAGCTTACTAAGTCCCCTAAGGCCATAAAGTTGCAAACTTTATGCCTTTGCATGGCTACAAGAAACCCAACACTAAAAACCTAGCTTATTTAACCCTTTTTCTACACCCTAACTCTTGCATGGGGACAAATCAAGGTCCAAGCTTGCATTTTTATGACTTAAAATGCCTTAAAATGTCTTAAAGAACACCTTAAAGGCTTTGGAGTACCTCTTACTCACCAAGCTCTTGGTTTTGGGACAAAAAGGAAGAAAATCAAGGCTTAACTAAGATCTAAAGAAACATAAACCAAGTTTGGAGCTTTATACCTCCAAATTATGCACAATGAAGAGAAGATGTTGGATCCAAAGTCTTGAGAGCAAAGCCTACTCCTTGAAGGTCCTTATTCACAAATAAGGAAGCACACAACTCACTCCAAAAGCTCAAAATGCTCAAAATGAACTAGGGTTTGCAAGGAGGGTCGAACTTGGGATGGAGGTTGATAAAGGGAAAGGTCTCGGGGCTATAATGGTCCTTAAATAGTGCACAAACCCTAAATATTAGGGTTTTGGTCTGAACCACATACGCCCGGCATACAGGAGTACGTGCAGCGTACTGACACGGGGCTTAGTACGCTCAGCGTACCAAGGTGTACGCCCAGCGTACTCAAGTTGTACCAAAAGATCACGAAATCGCCCTTGGGGACCCAATTTGCAAACATTTCGTAACTCAAGGGTCTAAAAGAAAATACCTAGAAAAATAGATGTTACAGAATCTTTGTTCTCTCTTGCTTGCCGATCTTTGCTCTCATATTCATCAACAAATGGCGACAGCAGAGTACGTGATATGCATTCGGGAACACGGCTTGAATGATCATTTCAATTGAATTGGCTCTATCTGATATGATAGCCAAAGATGGCATGTCTCCTATACATTCTTTGAGTCTTAATAAAAACCAAATCCATGACTTTCCACTTTTAGTTTTCCCAACACCAAATGCAATAGGGAGGATTTGGTTATTACCATCCATGCCTACTGCTAGGAACATGGTACCCAAGTATTTCCCTTTAAGGTGTGTGTCGTCAATGATAATAATAGGACGCAAAAATCTTTGAAACGTTCAAACCTAAAAAGTAATTAATAATCTAATTAAAGTGAACGCACGTGTATTGACATTAAATATAAAGAAGTCAGTATATAAAATATTACCACGCAGCCGATAGCCATGAAAAAATATTCGAATTTGTTGTCATCACTCGTCTTTATATGTGTAACTGTCCCTGGATTCTTTTCTCCAAGTTGTAACGGTATAAAGGTAGTCTTTGAAATCTTTCTTCAGTAGTCCCTCTTAATAGATTTAGAGCATACATTTTAGCATTCCATGCTTGCCAGTATGAAATATGTACACAAAGACAGTCATTTAAAGTTCGTTATATATGTTTCCCCCGCAACATATTACCCGTACTATCAGCTAATATCCCCTTCAAGAAGTGACCCAATATCTTTTTGTTGGTTTGTCGGTGATGGGGACGTAGTTGTGTGTTTGAGCATGTGTGTTTCTCTGAGAGTTTAACCACTTGAAATTTATCATTAGTATTAGGTTTTGTTGCCCTTATCCGCCAACCACAATTACCCATATAGCAAACAGCTTCAAACCTGTCTTTTGTAGATTTTTTCAATTTACATTGGAAACCTTCACTAACACTTTTCAAAAAAAATTAAGCTTAAGTGCTTCTTTGTTTTTGAAGAGTTGGTATAACTTCACATGGGAAGTATAGTTGTGCGTTGTGGCCCCTTTACGATTTTGTTGAGCTAATTCGTGCAGTAGTAAAGGTTCACGCATACCTCAATGGGTGGGTTGTGTTTCTTCAGAATCGGAAAAATAAAAAGGAAACTTTTCCTGTTGTGCTTTTCGGGGTTGTAAGGGATTAGTTTTCTCCTCTCCGCCTTCATGATCATCCCATCAAATTCAGTATAACTCTGAAAATGTTCAACTGACTCTCCATGTGGAATTATATTACCATGATCAACCAACATCATTGGTTTTGCCTCATCATTCGCACATTCATCAACATCAACAGTAATGTCAGCGTGAACAACAGCCTTACCTTTAGACCTATAATCACCCCCATTTATAGGGTCATTGTAAGAAGTAACATGGTTGGTTGTCATAGGTAATAAATTACAAATTTGGTTATTTCCAGCACCTAAAGAACCACTTCCAGAACGAATTTCCTCGGGAAATCGATTATTACCACTTTCCATAACATTATTAACAACAAACAGTTGTACTGTGTTGGGAGGCATAGTAGTAACAAAACTAAGAAAATATTTAACAATACTATCATCAAGAATCTACATAACTATATTTGATCTAGAACATTAAAAAGATAGACGAATTTGATTAGTGTGTAACCTAGACTTGGAAGCAACCAACGTAACTAACCCAACGAAGTTGATATCATTGTTTATATCTACACCAAAGCATGTGTAATCCGGAGCAAGATACTACATACATTCGTCGATACGTTGTCATTGTCCTCCACTAGAAACTGGAACTCGAAAAAATCTCGTATACGAACTCATTCCGGAACATTTATGCAAGTATTGAAGACACAAAGTATTAAACATACAAATGTATCGCATATTTGGAACAAAAACATACAAAAACCCTAATTTTAGCTCTCCAGAATAACACTCCGGAATGTACGTCCGTTCCGTAGTCCAGAATACACTTTTTCAATCCGAAACATACTGGGTGTCAGATTCTGAACCAAAATCTCACCAACCAGCACCCACTCCAAAACAATATCATAAATACTCCGGAATATCATATTCCAAATCACAAGTTTGAAACAAAATTACATGCTTTGAAATATGATATTCCGAAGCAATGTGATCAATTTCCCAAAAAAAAATTATTGGTTATTTTTTTTAAAATAATCATTTATAAGGGTTAGATTACTCAATTCTCCCCTACATTTTATTATGCCCAATTGCCCGTTACCTTGAAGAGCCAGAGCAAATACCAACCAACAACTTGTTAATTTATAAAATTTTAAAAAATAAATTAACTCACAAGCATGCCCAAAAATGACAACAAAATAACAACTGGTTTTATATAAGTTACACAAATTAAAAAGCCATACCATGTCCAATCCTACAGTCTACAGTTCAAAGGCATACTACATACACCCTTGGCACAAATTACAAACACACCAACTACACAGTCAACAATTTAAACAAAGTTTTGATTAAGATCCATGAAAAAAAACATCTAAAACAAATGTAGTTTAAGGATGAGTGATGGGTGTTCATTCCTTTGTGGTTTTGTTGATAAGAGACTTGTGAATGTGAGGGATGACACCACCTCCAGCAATGGTGCCTTTGATTAGTGTGTCAAGTTCTTCATCACCACGAATAGCAAGCTGCAGATGACGTGGCGTGATCCTCTTCACCTTCAAATCCTTGCTGGCATTTCCAGCCAACTCAAGTACTTCAGCTGTTAGGTATTCAAGTATGGCTGCTGAGTAGACTGCAGCTGTTGCTCCAACTCTTCCGTTTGCAGATGTCCTTGTTTTGAGGTGGCGGTGGATTCTTCCAACTGGAAACTGAGTTGCAAAATCACAATATTTTATTTTAGTTTATTAGTTGTTACACATGACATCAAAGAAAAGGACATGAACGATTATTGTAGTTACATAAACGTTATTGTAAGCATCCACAAAAGAAAAATGGAACAGATGTATTAGGGATTAAATGACAAAATCATAAGGAACAAAAAATAGATTCTTAGATAGATTGGGTGGATACCTGAAGACCAGCTCGAGATGATCGGGAAGTTGGTCTCTTCTTGTCTTTGTCTTTGTTAGCTGCAGCTGCAGCTGCCGCCGTTGTTTTTCCGGCCAAGAGTCCCTTCCCACCTTTTCCTGCCATTTTCACACCTACACAACCACTTCATAAATGAATTCCGGTAAAACAAAATTAAATACAACATGAAAAACAATCATATATGAAGAATCAAAAAGAATTGTGGCTAAATCAGGGGAAGAAATAGTCAAGGGACATGATTACAAACACATATCGAATTAGGGTTCCGTGTAGTCTAATAAATCCACGCATAACGTTAGTAATTAGAATCCTAAAACAAAAATTAAACCAACCGGAGTATATTAAACTATGCTTAACGGAAAACCACTTGTAAACCTTACATGCGCATATAAAATCGAAACTATGAAGATTTAAAACACAAAATCAAATAAAACAACTTTCCATCGTTATAATTCAAGATGCTTCAACGAAAACAACAAGATATAATCGATCGAATCAAATCAACACGAACCTAAATACCAAAGAATGAAGGAAGAGTTTGCGAAGAAGCGGCTTAAGGCGTTGATAGTTCTGGGTCTCACGATTTATGAGCTTCGAGAGTATAACTTGTTTGCTTTTGCAGATTTGGCGGGGTAGATCCAGTGGTGGGAAATAGGGTTTTCAAAAATTTCGCCCTCCCTCTTCTTTAATCAAAAAAATTCACCTTTGATGCTTCAAGGCTCAAGCCTTCAAGTTCAATGCAACGAATGATGCAAATAACAAGGCCACATGCGGCCCGGCGAGGAACCGCCCATTAGACTATATCCGGCCCATTAAGATACATGAAGCATGACCTCTTAGACCTGCATATATGTGGTTCCGGGTCGGTCTCGAAACGGCCCAATCTTTTTTGTGGTCAGTCTCGGAGCGGTCCGGTCTTTTTTTCGAGTCTCGGGCTGGTCTTTTTTTGATCCGGTCTTTTTTCAGACCGGTCTCGCGGTCTTTTCGTGCGCCTTTTTAGTGGGATGTCAAGTCCACCAAGCAAATTACACCATTTGTTTGCAAATAAAACGTAATATAATGGTAAAATGGGGTATCGATCCTCGGGTAAATGGTTGTATTCAATCATCAATGCAATCTAAAAGAACTATTGTAAATAAACTAACTAACTACAATTAAACTAAAAGGGGGGTGTTATGATTGCTTGAAAACTAAAAGACTTGAATGACTAAAAACTTGCAATTAAGCAAGATAGTGAGATGCTCAAATGTTGGGAACAATTGGTTAACCAAGGCAATTCAACACAATGAACATTTGTGTGTTTATCATTAGGATTCAACATGAAGCTTATCATTCATCCCAAATTGGTTATAGCAATCATGAAGCATGATATGACAAGATTCCTCTTAGGTAGTATGGAGGTTGGGGAAGCCTACAACACACCTTCTTAATCAAGATCAAGGGTTTAATTGAAACAATTGAACCCAAGAAGTTAATTAGCCTTAAGAAAGAAGGAATCTCCAATTCCTAGAGGATGTCAATGCTTACACATCCATAAAGGAGCTATGATTCATAAACTAGAGATGATTTTTACCATCATAAAGCCCTTGTTCTAAGTTAATTCAATGATTCAATGCAAAACCAAAGAAATAAACTAACAATAGCTCATTCAAGTGCCAAGCTCATGATCAAAGCATTAAACAAGCATAAGAAATATGATCTAGAACCATAAACATAAGATAATTGATAATCTAGCATGAATCCTTCAAAAACCCACAAACATTCAAAGGTTTTAACCAAAGTTAACCAATATAGAGAGTTTAGCCACTCATGGCAATAGAACAACAATCACAAAAGTCTAATTGCATAAAGAAACTACCAAATAACTTGGAAAGATGAAGAGAAATGAGTTTTTGAGCTTCAAAATCGCCTTCTCCAGGTCTCAAATGGTGTCAAATCGAAGTTCTGGCTGCTAGGTCTGATCCCCCAAGGTAATGGCAAGTCAAATGACCAAAATGCCCAAACTGGGCAGTTGCGCGGGTACCCGCGCGACGAAAATTCCACCCGCGCAAATGTTGTTGTAATGCTATTGGTCCTTCATTCCACCACTCCACCCTTCCACTACCAAAGATTCCTTTGGTCCCCTCCATATCCATGTGATTCAAATCAACCAATCATCTTTTAGCTTCAAATGTGGATGCTCCAAACCCCAAAATTAATTATCCATGATCCATCTTCACAAGCCCACTTCATCCAAGCCTTTATCTTTTTAAGCCCAAATCTCATTTGGTGGATCCGCCAAGCCCAATAGCGCCTCGAGAGCCCACAAGTCCGTCTTCACTCTAATCCACAATCGCGATAAGCTCCAAAACCCTGCCAAATACCTCATGCAACATAAAAAGCACCCGGTACGATCCATACTAAAGAAAATAAATAAAATACAATGCAATAATGATAAAAAGATCTAAAAATCTAAAATAAACTAATGAAAATAAGGAAATAAAATAAGCTATCAAATCACCTCAAGCTTAAACCTAACTTGTCCTCAAGTTAGAACAAGACTAATATGAGATCGGGATGAGCTAAACTAAAAAGGAAAAAGAAAGGTACCATAGAACTTGGTCAACATCAGTCAACATGGTCAGAATTAGTCCTTCATGGACCCTACGTATCCTCAAAATGTTCCCCGCTTTAGAGCTATAAACCACATTCTCAACCACTTGATGGGCGAATAGATCACGGCTGGATGCTGTCGCGGTGTGCAAGACAAAGGAAACAGAGATGCGCCCAGTGGGGGCACTTTAAATCACCAATGCAGATCATAATGCACGAAGGAAAGGCGCCTCTTCACACACTATGATTCCTACATTTGTCAGGCTAAAGTGTATAGTATGAAATAGGGTTTTGCAGCGCGGCCTCCGGGCAAATATCCGGTTTCAGAAGCTTCTCCCTTGTACTGTCCTTTACAGTCTACCGTCTCATCGTCAAGACCTTTTCTCACAAAAAATGAAAAATAAAATAAAATAATAAAAATTCTACTTAACCTAAACTTAAATCTTCAATCTTGAACTTCTGTTATTTGGTCTTCAGCCTCTTCGATGCTTGATATTCAGTCTTCTTAAATCTTCAAAAAAAAAATTTTAACAGAACTAAAGCCTTGAACTTGGATTCTTGTTCGTCTTTTTGTGTTGCTCTTTTTTCTTCATTTTTATTCTTTGTTTTGTTGTTTTTCTTTAATCTTCTTCATTGTTTCTTTTTGTCTTCACTTTTCCAATTTCTTCATTTTTTTTTGTGTTTTCTTCTTTGAAGGTCTAAGGAATTTCACCATGTAACATAGGATGGAGGCTAACATGAACACCTAAGGATCATTGACAACGTGCCAAGATCAACTAAAAAGGGTGGGATATGACAAAAAAATGGGTGTTACCGAAAAAAACTTGGTCCCAAAAGATGTGAATTGGGGGACCCACTTCAAAGTTCATCAAGCACCTCAATGCAAGGTGTGATAAACAAAATCTACCTAACTATCTACTCTAGACCCCTAGAAAAATGATAACCTATCCTAAAAAGGCGGTGAGAATCTAACTAAGCAAGGCTCGGACGCGACTCGGAAGTACTAAAGGGTACTCCCTCCAAAACCAAGATGCGAGTCTTCAATATCTTCAATGGCTTCATAATACCTTACCGGGCTAATATTTTCTCGCACACATTGGCATGACCAACCACATCCCTCCGCACCTAGACCCAATCAAGCTACCTGCATCTGACCCCCACACAAGCGGTCTTAAAATGGTCTGTGAGGCTTAAAACGTGTCCCACTTATCAAATACAAGGAATTCCATATCAAGACCCGGGACCAATCTATGATTCAATACTTATGACTCGGTGCTCTGGTACCTGTAGTGATGAGAAGACAAGAGAGAACAAAAATGCATGAACTTAAACTAGAATGCATCTAAAAAGTATGAAAATTAGAAAAGAAATAAAGAAAAAATGCAATATTTTTGGAATTTTTATGAATGACCTAAATGAGTTACTCTAAATGAAACTATATATAACCTAAATGCAATAAAAATAAAATATAAGAATACCTCACCCCAAGCTTAAAATTAAGCATTGTCCTCAATGCTTAGGATGAGAGTAAGGAAAGATCATATCGGGATGGTGGAGGAGGCACGCGAGGACGGTATGGAAGCAACACATGGGTTGTACAATGATGTGTGGATGGAGTTCTTGGCCACCTAAATACACATGGATGAAAGCTTGGTCGCGCAAAGGAAGCATATGCAATGACTCAAAATTTTCTTATGAAGTGACACATTTGCGTGCGTCCCCTCGCAAACTTTGCGCGGGTGGTGGTTGGGTCGCGCAAATAAAGAATTAGCATCATTGGTCTCGCAAAGAAAGGGAAGGATTTGGTCTTAGCCGCGCAACAATTTGTGAGGGTGGAAGGCAGCCGCGCAATTAGTTGTGAGGGTGGCAGTCGGCCGCACAGAACTTGCGCGGGTGGGGGAGCCGGCCGCGCAAACTAATCAGATGCAACCCCATGTTGGGTTAATTTGGAACTCGGAACCTGCGCGGCTGGGGGCCGGTCGCGCAAAGTCTGCGCGGGCACCCGCGCAAGTTGCAGATTTTTGACACTTTTTTTTCAAACTTCACCAATATCATTGCTAGATTTCCATATGCTTATTTTTAGACCAACTTCAAGCTTAGAAACACCCAAAACTTCAAGCGGAGATTATTTATTTACAATGCATTTGTTTAACGTCTTTGCCAAGACATAGTCCCGCTTCCGTCAACCTTCGTAAATCGGGGCTTCCAATGTTACGTTATCAAATTCTCCCGTGTCAAAGCCTTCATAAAATGGTTTCAAGCGATGCCCATTCACTTTAAATATTTGATTTGTTTCCAAACTCTTAATTTCAACCGCACCGTGATCAAACACTTTTATAATAATAAAAGGTCCGTGCCATCGAGATCGCAACTTTCCCGGGAATAGCTTTAAGAGTGAATGATAAAGAAGAACTTTTTGGCCCGTAATAAAATGCTTACGAGTGATGTGTTTGTCGTGAAACGCTTTTGTTTTATCTTTGTAGATGCTTGCATTTTCATAAGACTCGTTCCTCAACTCCTCGATTTCTTGAAGTTGCATCTTTCGGTGCTTTCCAGCTTCTTCAAGATTGAAATTACACTTTTTAACTGCCCAATATGCCTTGTGTTACAATTCCACCGGTAAATGACAAGACTTTCCATAGACGAGGCGGAATGGAGACATACCAATTGGAGTTTTGTAGGCGGTCCGATACGCCCACAAAGCATCTTCTAACTTCAAGCTCCAACCTTTTCGTGTGGTGTTGACCGTCTTTTCAAGAATTTGCTTGACTTCTCTATTTGACACTTCGGCTTGGCCATTCCTTTGTGGATGATAAGTGGTTGATATCCAGTGTGTGACACCGTATTTTTTCATCATGGCTTCCATCATTTTGTTGCAAAAATGAGTGCCCCTATCACTCACCAAAGCTCTCGGTACACCATATCTTGCAAAAATGTTTGACTTCAAGAAGTCAATCACAGTTTTGGAATCATCATGCCTTGTAGCCTTTGCTTCAACCCACTTTGATACGTAATCAACCGCCAAGAGTATATAAGTGTATCCGAAAGAGACGGGGAAAGGGCCCATGAAATCGATTCCCCATACATCAAAGATCTCGCAAATGAGGATAGGGCTTTGAATCATTTCATGCCTCGTGGATACGGTTCCCGTTCTTTGACATCTATCACAACTTTTGCAAAATAGATAGGTATCTCTTGACATTGTTGGCCAAAAGAGTCCACATTCTAAGACCTTTCGCATGGTTTTGTTTTGACCAAAACGTCCTCCGCATGCATACTCACGACAAAACTTCAAGATTGATTCGACCTCATTCTGATGAACACACCGCCGTATTAGTTGATCTGGACAATGTTTCCAAAGATAAGGGTCGTCCCATACGTAGTATTTGGAATCACTCTTCAACTTGGCTTTTTGGTACTTGGTAAATGCGTGACGAATTTCTTTAGTAACCAAGTAGTTCATAATATCCGCATACCATGGGATGGTGTTTGAAATGTAGAAGAGGTGCTCATCCAGGAATTCATCAAGGATAGAAGATGAGGAGTCACCAATATTCAACCGACTTAAGTGGTCCGCAACTAGATTTTCGGCACCACTTTTGTCCTTTATCTCAAGATCGAATTCTTGTAAAAGAAGAATCCACTGAATCAACCGTGGTTTGGCATCTTTCTTGGTCATGAGATACTTCAATGCGGCATGGTCGGAGTATACAATCATTTTTGTCCCGAGAAGGTATTGCCGGAATTTCTCCAAGGCGAATACAATGGCTAGAAGTTCCTTCTCGATGGTTGAGTAATTGGCTTGAGCATTATCCAAGGTTTTGGAGGCATAGTAGATGACATGTGATGCTTTGCCCTCCTTTTGACCTAAGACTGCTCCAATTGCAAAATTGCTTGCATCACACATTATTTCAAAGGGAAGCTCCCAATTTGGAGGTTGGAT